GAAGCCGGGGTTGTTCAGCAATCCGGCCAAGTCGAAGCCTCCGGGGCCGCCGGTCTGGAGGAGAGAGCAGAGCCAGCCTTCATTCCCAGCCCTCATTCCCATTCCTCATTCCCAGCCCTCATTCCCATTCCCATCCCTCATTCCCAGCCCTCATTCCCATTCCTCATTCCCATCCCATTCCCATTCCTCATTCCCATCCCATTCCTCATTCCCATCCCTCATTCCTCATTCCCATCCCATTCCCATCCCATTCCCATCCCTCATTCCCATCCCATTCCTCATTCCCATTCCTCATTCCCATCCCATCCCTCATTCCCATCCCTCATTCCCATCCCTCATTCCCATTCCCATCCCTCATTCCCATCCCATCCCTCATTCCCATCCCTCATTCCCATCCCTCATTCCCATCCCATTCCCATCCCTCATTCCCATTCCTCATTCCCATCCCATTCCTCATTCCCATCCCTCATTCCTCATTCCCATCCCTCATTCCCATTCCATTCCCATCCCATTCCCAGGGAATTCCAGTGAAAACCTTAAAAAATTCCCAAATTCCAGGATTTTAACCTTAAAAAATTCCCAAATTCTGGGACTTCCAAAACCTCATTTAATCTTAAAAAAATACCTGAATTCCAGGACTTAAACCTTAAAAATCCCTGAATTCCAAGATTTAAACCTTAAAAATCCCCAAATTCCAGGACTTTAATGTTAAAAATTCCCCAAATTCCAGGATTTTAACCTTAAAAAATTCCCAAATTCTGGGACTTACAAAACCTCATTTAATCTTTAAAAAAATCCCCAAATTCCAGGATTTTAACCTTAAAATTCCCCAAATTCCAGGATTTTAACCTTAAAATTCCCCAAATTCCAGGATTTTAACCTTAAAAATCCCCAAATTCCAAGATTTTTACCTTAAAATTCCCCAAATTCCAGGATTTTTACCTTAAAATTCCCCAAATTCCAGGATTTTAACCTTAAAAATCCCCAAATTCCAGGATTTTAACCTTAAAAATCCCCAAATTCCAGGATTTTAACCTTAAAAATCCCCGAATTCCAGGATTTTAACCTTAAAAATCCCCGAATTCCAGGATTTTAACCTTAAAAATCCCCAAATTCCAAGATTTTAACCTTAAAAAATTCCTAAATTCTGGGACTTACAAAACCTCATTTAATCTTAAAAAGAATCCCAAAATTCCAGGACTTAAACCTTAAAAAATTCCCCAAATTCCAGGATTTTAACCTTAAAAATCCCAAAATTCCAGGACTTTAATGTTAAAAATTCCCAAATTCCAAGATTTTAACCTTAAAAAATTCCCCAAATTCCAGGATTTTAACCTTAAAAATCCCCAAATTCCAAGATTTTAACCATAAAAATTCCCCAAATTCCAGGATTTTAACCTTAAAAATCCCCAAATTCCAGGATTTTAACCTTAAAAATCCCCAAATTCCAGGACTTTAATGTTAAAAATTCCCCAAATTCCAGGATTTTAACCTTAAAATTCCCCAAATTCCAGGATTTTAACCTTAAAATTCCCCAAATTCCAGGACTTTAATGTTAAAAATTCCCCAAATTCCAGGATTTTAACCTTAAAATTCCCAAATTCCAAGATTTTAACCATAAAAATTCCCCAAATTCCAGGATTTTAACCTTAAAAATCCCCAAATTCCAGGATTTTAACCTTAAAAAATCCCCAAATTCCAGGATTTTAACCTTAAAAATCCCCAAATTCCAGGATTTTAACCTTAAAATTCCCCAAATTCCAGGATTTTAACCTTAAAAATCCCCGAATTCCAAGATTTTAACCTTAAAAAATTCCCCAATTCCAGGACTTTAATGTTAAAAATTCCCCAAATTCCAGGATTTTAACCTTAAAATTCCCCAAATTCCAGGATTTTAACCTTAAAAATTCCCCAAATTCCAGGATTTTAACCTTAAAAATCCCCAAATTCCAGGACTTTAATGTTAAAAATTCCCCAAATTCCAGGATTTTAACCTTAAAATTCCCCAAATTCCAGGATTTTAACCTTAAAAATCCCAAAATTCCAGGACTTTAATGTTAAAAATTCCCCAAATTCCAAGATTTTAACCATAAAATTCCCCAAATTCCAGGATTTTAACCTTAAAATTCCCCAAATTCCAGGACTTTAACGTTAAAAATTCCCCAAATTCCAGGATTTTAACCTTAAAATTCCCAAATTCCAAGATTTTAACCATAAAAATTCCCCAATTCCAGGACTTTAATGTTAAAAATTCCCCAAATTCCAGGATTTTAACCTTAAAAAATCCCCAAATTCCGGGACTTACAAAACCTCATTTAATCTTAAAAAAATCCCCAAATTCCAGGATTTTAACCTTAAAATTCCCCAAATTCCAGGATTTTAACATTAAAAATCCCCAAATTCCAAGATTTTAANCCTTTCAGCCTCGGCCACGTCATCTTCCGAGGGCGTCACGGGCTCCGAGTTCGTTCTGGAATGTTCCAGCTCCTTCCGAGGAGAGGGAGAAGCTGAGGTGAGGATTCCCCGCAATTCCCGTTTTCCCAGCCCTCCCAGGGGAGCAGCAGGCTCCTGGAAAATCCACAGGGGGGAAAGGGAATGTTCCAGAACGCTGGCTCACCTTCCCTGCCACAGCCTCAAATATTTCGGGAAGGGTCTGGGACACAGCCAGGCTTTGATCTTCCATGGAGACCCCAAACGCTGTTTCCAGGCACTGGATGGCCACTGGATAAGGAAAATCAGGATAATTAATTAATATTCATCCTTCTCCCTCGTCTATAAAAAAAAAAAATGTGAAAAAAACTCAATGTTTTATGGGGTTTTTGGGGTCGTATCCGCAGGTTTTGCTGAAATTTGGAGGCAAAGCTTCCCTGTGGATATCCTGGATGGAGCTGATCCCGATTCCCAGCCCCTGGGGGATTCCTGGGGGTTGGAAGTGAGTCAGGCTGGGGCTGCAGCAGCATTCCCACAGCTGGGAATGTGGGAACAGCCCAGAATTCCAAGGAGAGATCCAGAAATTCCCCTGGCTCTGGGAACCCTGAGCCACCTCCTCCCTCCTGTTCCCAGGGAAAAGCTGGGAAAAGAGAGCTTCCCAAAGCATTCCTGCCACGTTTCACATCCCAAAATATCCCATTCATCCATTCAGGAATGTCCCCCCAACCCTTTCCCAGGACAAAACCACAAATCAAGGACTAAACCTTGAACTCCTTAAGGAAAACTTTCAAAATATCCACGTGCTCTCCCCTGCCCTTTGGAATGGGCTGGAAAAACCCTGAGGGATGGAATTTTGGGGAGCAGAAGAGGAAAAACAAACCCCAGGAGCACAAAAATTATCCCAGGAACACAAAAATTATCCCTGGAGCACCAAAATCTTCCCTGGAGCCAGGGAATTCCCATTTCCCACCCCAGAGAACCCTCCCAGCTCTGCCTCATCCTGGATGAATCCTCCAAGACTCCAAGCAGGATCAGGGAGGTTTTTGACCCCAGGTTCATCCCTGACTCCAGCTCAGCTGATTCTGGAAGAGATCAGAATCCCTGGAAAACTCCCAAAAGGAAAAATTTAAATGCAAAATGCCCAAAGGGAAAAATTAACCCCAAAATCCCCAAAAGGAAAAATTAATTCCAAAATGCCCAAAGGAAAAGTCAATTTCAAAATCTTGAAAGGAAAAATTAACTCCAAAATCCCCAAAAGGAAAAATTCACTCCAAAATCCCAAAAGGGAAAAATTAACCCCAAAATCCCCAAAGGGAAAATTTAACCCCAAAATCCCCAAAGGGAAAATTTAACCCCAAAATCCCAAAAGGAAAAATTAATTCCAAAATGCCCAAAGGGAAAAATTAACCCCAAAATCCCCAAAGGGAAAAATTAAATCCAAAATGCCCAAAGGGAAAAATTAACCCCAAAATCCCCAAAGGAAAAGTCAATTTCAAAATCTTAAAAGGAAAAATTAACTCCAAAATCCCCAAAAGGGAAATTTAAATCCAAAATTCCAAAAGGGAAAAATTAACTCAGAAATCCCAAAAGGGAAATTTAACTCCAAAATCCCATAAGGGAAAAATTAACTCAGAAATCCCAAAAGGGAAAAATTAACCCCAAAATGCCCAAAGGGAAAAATTAACCCCAAAATCCTCAAAGAGAAAAATTAACTCAGAAATCCCAAAAGGGAAAAATTAACTCAGAAATCCCAAAAGGAAAAAAACTCCAAAATCCCCAAAGGGAAAAATTAAATCCAAAATCCAAAATCCCAAAAGAGAAATTTAACTCCAAAATCCCAAAAGGAAAAAATTAACTCAGAAATCCCAAAAGGGAAAAATTAACTCAGAAATCCCAAAAGGGAAAAATTAACTCAGAAATCCCAAAAGGGAAAAATTAACTCAGAAATCTCAAAAGGGAAATTTAAATCCAAAATCCCAAAATCCCAAAAGAGAAATTTAACTCCAAAATCCCCAAAGGGAAAAATTAACTCAGAAATCCCAAAAGGGAAAAATTAAATCCAAAATCCCCAAAGGGAAAAATTAACTCCAAAATCCCAAAAGAGAAATTTAACTCCAAAATCCCATAAGGAAAAAATTAACTCCAGAATTCCAGCACCGGGAGCATCCCGGCCAAACCCAGGGGCAGAAAAGAGGGAAATAAACCCCAAATTCTCCCAAATTTTCACCTGATCCTCCCACCCACCTTCCAAACTCTCCTGAGCATCCGGAGACATTTTCCCGCTCTGGAGCTGGGTGTGCAGGAATTGGATGATGGAAAAGGCGAGACGCTTCTGGTCTGCCATGCTGGGAGAGAGGCTGTGAGGCTCCACCGCTCCTGCCTTCCCAAAAAACACCTGGAATCATGGAAAACATGGATCAGAGCTGGAAAAGGGGTTTGGGGTGTGAGGCTCCACCGCTCCTGCCTTCCCAAAAACACCTGGAAAAATGGAAATCCGGGATCACAGGAGGGAAAGGGGTGTGAGGCTCCACAGCTCCTGCCTTCCCAAAAAACACCTGGAAAAATGGAAATCCGGGATCAGACAAGGAAAAGGGAAAGGGGTGCGAGGCTCCACCGCTCCTGCCTTCCCAAAAAACACCTGGAATTATGGAAAACATGGATCAGAGCTGGGAAAGGGGTGTGAGGCTCCACCGCTCCTGCCTTCCCAAAAACACCTGGAAAAATGGAAATCCGGGATCAGAGCTGGAAAAGGAAAAGAGGTGTGAGGCTCCATTGCTCCAAGGGAAAGGGGTTTGGGGTGTGAGGCTTCACTGCTCCTGCCTTCCCAAAAAACACCTGGAATCATGGAAAACATGGATCAGAGCTGGGAAAGGGGTGTGAGGCTCCACCGCTCCTGCCTTCCCAAAAAACACCTGGAATCACAGAAATCTGGGATCAGAGGAGGGAAAGGGTTTTGGTGCTGCTGTGCCTTGAGTTTTCTGGGATCAGGGAATTGTTGGATTTGGGAGATGAGGGGGTTGGGATGAGTGAGAGCTCCAGAATGTTCTTTACAGGCTTCAGGAATTCTCCAGGTTTGGATTGCTTGGCACAATCCCACCCCGGGGGTTTGAAATCCTGGGAGCGCTGAGGAGTTCAGCAGGAAAAATTCCCACTTTTCTGCTCTTGGCTCCAAAGGTGGGAGCAGAAGGAATTGGGGAGCCCTGAGCCGGCCCAGCCTGTCCTGGCAGGGAAATCCCAAAAATCCCAAAGCCAAGAGATCCCAAAAATCACAACCTGAGGCCGGGAATTCCCAGTGATCCCACGGCAATTCCCAACAATCCCAGGGCAATTCCCAATGATCCCAGGGCAATTCCCAATGATCCCACTGCAATTCCCGATGATCCCACTGCAATTCCCGATGATCCCATGACAATTCCCAGGGATCCCACGGCAATTCCCAATGATCCCACTGCAATTCCCAACAATCCCACTGCAATTCCCAATGATCCCACGGCAATTCCCAACAATCCCACGGCATTCCCAATGATCCCATGGCAATTCCTGATGATCCCACTGCAATTCCCGATGATCCCACTGCAATTCCCAACAATCCCACGGCAATTCCCAATGATCCCACTGCAATTCCCAGGGATCCCACTGCAATTCCCAACAATCCCACTGCAATTCCCGATGATCCCACTGCAATTCCCAACGATCCCAGGGTAATTCCCAATGATCCCACTGCAATTCCCAATGATCCCACTGCAATTCCCAACGATCCCACTGCAATTCCCAACGATCCCAGGGTAATTCCCAATGATCCCATAACAATTCCCGATGATCCCATGACAATTCCCAACAATCCCACGGCATTCCCAATGATCCCAGGGCAATTCCTGATGATCCCACTGCAATTCCCAGGGATCCCACGGCAATTCCCGATGATCCCATGACAATTCCCAGTGATCCCACTGCAATTCCCAGGGATCCTGCTGCCATTCCCAATGATCCCATGACAATTCCCAACAATCCCACGGCAATTCCCGATGATCCCAGGGTAATTCCCAGTGATCCCAGGACAATTCCCAACGATCCCAGGGTAATTCACAGTGATCCCACTGCCATTCCCAACGATCCCAGGACAATTCCCAGGGATCCCCCGGTAATTCCCGAGGGAAAGCGGCTCCAGGCTCCGCCGCTGCTGCCGAGCTCTGCCGGTCCCGAGCGTTACCGGCTTTGTGGAGCACAGCCGGGCTCGTTCCACCGGGAAAGGAGCTCCACTGAACGAGCCCGGCAGAGCCGAGCCGAGCCCGGTGGCACC